TTTTTTTTTTTTTTTTTTGGTTCAGTGTGACAAATGGTGGGAAGACAACACTGGCTAAAAATTTGGAGAAACATCTCCCAAACTGCAGTGTCATATCTCAGGATGATTTCTTTAAGGTATCTATAAAACGTCTTAGATAATTTATTTAACACACCAAAAAAGTTCTAGTAGCAAAGTTAATTGAATCACATCCCAGAAGCCTTTGCTGAGTGATGACAGCTTTTGTAGTGAACCAGAGTCAATGCAGTAGTGTTGCTTACCCACTAGATGGCACCACTACTGTTCCTGTTTGATTTTATTTACTCTCATAATCTGATGCATTTACTAAAGCTTCATGGCCTCTTCATTCTGTAATTGTATTATTTCTGCATTGCAGTTTTCATGGGTACTTTATTATTTTTTCAGCCAGAGTCTGAGATAGAGACAGATGAAAATGGCTTTCTGCAGTATGACGGTAAGTAGATGAGCTTATGAAAACTATGCCCTAATGTTCATTTTCTTTTTCAAACCCAAATACTTCTCTATGAAGACATTCTCAGTGTGTTTAAATATATTACTGTACTTTAAACCTACCTTTGTAAGGGTTTCTGGTTTATATTCAGTTGTTTTTAAAAATGAAATATTTCTCCCAGTTTTATATTTAAAAATGAAAACATTGGAATGAATAGATTTTTTCTTCTGAAGCTGAGACAAGGCAGGTTCGCTGGTACTCTAGTCATCCCTGCCCAGGGAATGCATAACTGCTTCCCTTCCCACCCCCAGTCTTACCTAGAACAAACTGGAAGCACTCATCTTCTGAGCTTTCCTTCCCAGTGCCCAAGGTGGTACTGGGCAGCTGTTTTTTTTTTCTTTTCATTTATCAAAAAGGATAGTGAATATTTTTTTACATGGGTTTGCCTCACTCCTCTACCCAGACTAACACTGCTTTGACGCCAAAGGATTAAAGTACATCAGAAAAAGTTTATTTTCCTATAAAGAATATATGCTAACAAACTGTATTTAATGGTATTATCAACTTTTATAACTAATAAGATAATCATTGAGAGCTTATGCAAATTAGCAACCAAGGGAGTTCTCTTGAGGAGCCATAAAATATGTTCTTTATTTTTAACTTTGATAACCTTGGAGGTAAAATGTTGTGTAGTCAGTTCTTACAGATGCATGATAGTTTTAAGAGAGGCAAAGTCCTTGATTTGCTGTCCTTGTGTCTTGAGCTGCAGCCAAGATAGTTTTTTCTTTTCTTCTCCTCTAAAGGTTAGTAAGGAATATTATTACAAAGTAAGAATTAAACAAGGAAAAACTGTTTTCAACAATTGACAAAGAATTATTCCTAATTTAAATGAATCCTTACAAACTAAGAAGAAAAGCACTAATATCCCAATTGAAAAAGGTGTCCAAGGATGTGAATAAGCTATTCACAGAAGCAAAAGGTTAATAATATGCAATAAAAAGTCAGCCTCAAAGGTAACGAAAGAATTATAGCTTACTTTTTTCCCCACTTACCTAGTAAACAGATTCTTAAAGCGTGGATAATTATCTAATGATGGCGTTATCTCAATAAAACCAAAACTGTCACAGATGGGAGGATAATAAATCGGTACAACCTCTCTAGAAAGGGGATTAAGAATATGTCCCAAAGACCTCAAAATATTCGTGCCATGTGTTCAAGTGCACTTCGAGGAATCTATCTTAAGGGGAAATCTGAACTTTTTAGGTAAATGTACAAATTCAGGGTAAGTCAAGATAATGTTGAAATCTTTAATCTTAAATTTTTAAATGTATAGCTATCAAGTTTATAAATTGATGGAATCATTAAATTATAGTGGGTAAATACAAAGTAAGTCAAAGACGCAAAAAACAGAGATCTTTAAAAAATCAAAGGGTGATATAAAAATAGAAAATGATAGTAAGCTGATAGATTTAAACCAAATAGATCAATAACTACATTAAATTAAAGAACTAAAATACTCCAAATATTATCAGACTAGGTTTTTTAAAAAAGCCAACTACCAGCTCCTCATAAAAGATATAATATTAAGACATAGAAAAGTAGTTAGTAAAAGGCTAGAAAAAGATAGTATATCATGCAAACACCTACTGAAAGAAAACTTGTATAACTATGTTACTATCAGACAAAGTAAACTTTAAAGCAAAGAGTATCACTAGAGATAGAGATAAGTGGATCAATTCAACAGGAAGATAATCTAAAATCTGTATGCACCTAATAACATAACTTCAAAGTATATTAAACAAAAACTGCTAAACTAAGAGGAGAAATAGACAAATCTATAATTATTGTGGGAGATTTTTATACAACTTCCTCAAAAACTGAAATAAACACACAAAAATTATAAGGGTATAACAGATTTGAACAATACAATGAACAAACTTGACCAAATTAACACACATAGAGCATGCACCCAGCAACAGTAGAATACACATTTCTTTCTCAAGAACACATGGAACATTAACCAAAATGGATGCATATGCAAGGGCATGGAGCAAGTCCTAATATATTTCAATGAATTCAAGTAATACAGAGACATCCTCCAATCACAGAGAACTGAATTAGAAATCATTAACTAAAGAGGAAGTAGTAAAGTCCCAAATATTTGGAAAATATTGTCTGTGTCTGTGGGTTATGCATATATGTTCTTTGGCTAATTCCTTCACCTTTCATCCAGTTCCCCCCTACCCCCTTGCCTCCGACACCTGTCAGTCTGTTCCATGTATCTATGTCCCTATAAAAACTTTTCTTATGGAAAATTTTAAACATATACAAAAGTAGGCAGGAAAGTATAATGAGTTCTTATGAGTTCAGCATTCAGGTTTAAAAATGATGAACTCTTGACCCATTATATTTTATCTATATCGTCACTCACTTTCTCCTATATTATTTTGAAGCAAATTCCGGACGTCATCCCATTTTATCTGAAGCAAGACACTTCTGTATCCCATAGGTTAAAGAATAAATCACAATGAAAATTAGAAAATATTTTTAACTGAGTGATAATGAAAATATATTCAAACTAACGGTATTTCTGGTTCCAGCCAAAATGGATTGGCCCTGTTCCTTGCTATTCCTCCCACAACTAAAAACTCTGGATGGAATACAACAAAGGGAAGACTCTGAAAGATGAAAGGAGGGGACTTCAGGACTTGAGGAATAGCATGGCTGTGAGTTACCAGAGTTTTCTTTTTGCCTCATATATTCAGGAAGGGGTGCTGGAGAAGTGTGCAACATGGAACCATTAATATGTACAGACCAAAAAAAAAAAAACCCCACCAGGAAACCTATTCCCTAGTCAAAGCACCAGAAAAAGGGTGGTCTAGCAGATTAGAAAATCATTTTATAATATCCACCCTCCTCAAGCCAAACAAAAAACAAAAAACAGTTCTCCCCTCATGGTATTAGCAGGGCCAAGTGGAGAACAAGACTTCTGAACCCACCGACACTGGTAAGGCAGGGTGAGTTGGCCCTCCATGTCATCCATAGGGATCAGTCATATCAGTGGAGCCAAACAGTGACTGAACTTCCACCCCCACCTACCAGCAAACAGCAGGATGAAGCGGTGTGAGGTGGTGCTGGCTGGTATTCCACACTTTCCTCTCCCAGATAGTGTCAGCTCCTATCAGCAGAACTCAGTGGTGAGCTGAACTTCACCCTTTGCTGAGCAGCTATGAAGCTGCACCAGCACTTTGATTTTCCCTTTCTCCTCCCATGGCAATTCCCCCCACACCCCAGCAGTATCAGTGAGGCCCAACAGGGAGCTAAACATCCCCCACCCTGACAACCTACAGCTAAAACAGATCACTGCCTGCAAAAAAGAAGATTTAATAGGCTTTAGAACCTCGCAACATAATGCCCCAAATTTCCAGGACAAAACTGAGTTTCACTTATCATATCAAGAACCAGTCAACTCTCAACTTGAGTGAAAAAAAGACAATCCACGGCCACCAACTCTGTGTTGACAGAGATGTTGGAATTATCTGACAAAGTGTTTTAAAGCAGTGCTTATTAAAAGGCTTCAGCAAGCAACTGTGAACATTCTTGAGTCAAGTGAAAAATTACAAAGCTTCAGTAAAGAAATGCAAGATGTAAAAAAGAACCAAATTGGAATTTTAGAACTGAAAACAAACAATAACTGAAATTTTAAAACTCACTAGATGAGCACAACGGAATAAATATGATAGAGGAAGGAATCAGTGAACTACAAGACAAAACAATAGAAATTACTCAATCTGATCAACAGAGAGAAATAGACTGAAAAGAAATGAACAGAAATGCAGACAATAACAAAAGACCTAACATATTACTGAAGTCTCAGAAGGAGAGGAGAAAGAGTGTGGTGCTGAAAAAGTATTTAAAGAAGTGCCCTGGCTGGGTAGCTCACTTGGTTAGAATGTCATCCTGATACACCAAGGTTTCGGGTTTGATCTCTGGTCAGGGCACATACAAGGAGCAACCAGTGAATGCATAAATAAGTGAAACAACAAATCAGTGTTTCTCTCTCTCTCTCTCTCTCTCTCTTCCTCTCTTCCTCTTTTTCTCTAAAATCAATTTCTAAAAAAATTTAAGGAAAGAAAAGTAATGGTGTAAACCACCTCAAATTTGGCATAGGACATAAATCTACATGTGCAAGAATCTGAGCGATCCCCAAACAGGTTACACAACACTGATCAAGAAAAAAACAGGGAAGGCACAAATTATAAATACCAAAACCAAAAAGGATGATACCATTACAGATCCTGCAGACATTAAAAAGATAAGAGGGCATTATAAACTACTTATGTAAATATAGTAGAAAACTTAAATGAATTGACAATTTCCCAGAAAAGTATAACTTACCGAGACTAGCACCAGAACAAAGAGAAAATCTTAGCAGCCCTATATCTATTAAATAAATTAATCCATAACTTATTTAACTAAAAGACCTCTAAGCCCTGATGGCTCAATTCAGTACTTCTGGAGTGAGACTCAGAATTTGCCTTCCTAGTAAGTCCCCAGGTGCGGCTGCTGCTGCTGGTTTAGGTACCACACTTTCAGAATCACTTTTATAGATACTCTTATAGAGTTATAACTGGAAGATCAGAAAGTATGCACATTTTTGAGTTTGAGAATGACATATTTGTATTCTTTGTAAAAATGTTTAATGGTTTTTCTCTTATTTATCTGTAAGAGCTCTTTTATATTAAAAATATTAGCTTTTACCAAATGCAGATATTTTCCTCAGTGTGTCATGTATCTTTCATACTAATTTATTGATATTTTGTCATCCAAAAATGTTAAATTTTTATGTAGTCAGGCGGTAGTAGAAGTTATAAATAAAGCAAGATTAACCATGAGTTTATGATTGTCAAAGCTGTTAATAGGGACATGGGAGTTCATTGTACTTTACTCTCTACTTTTGTATATGTTTCAAATTTTCCTAAATAAAAATGTTTCAAACATACCAATTTGTCAATATTAGAGTTTAAAAGTCTCTGAAAGATTTGTTATTAAGTTTTTTGAAGGGTAAATAGTGTTATTTTATGCATTTATAGAGTGCAGGATATACTCATCATAAAAAGCTTCATCATCAAACGTTTGTTATACTGATTTCATATTTTTGTATGTTGCTTGAAGTGCTAGAAGCGCTTAACATGGAAAAAATGATGTCCACCGTTTCTTGCTGGATGGAAAGCCCAAGACGCTCTCTGGTATCAGCAGACTGGAAAAGCGAGGAAATTCCCATATTAATCATCGAAGGTTTCCTTCTCTTTAATTATAAGTAAGCATTGCTCACTCAGATATGGACTCTGAATGAATGGGGAACAAACATTGTGAACTAACTTTGTTGTTATTTTAGGCCCCTTGACACTATATGGAACAGAAGCTACTTCCTGACCATTCCATATGAAGAATGTAAGAGGAGGAGGAGGTGAGTTTTGAAGTTGCCTTTGTAGGTGGTGATTCAAAAGACAAAAAAATTTATGAAAAATGAGGAAAGCAACATTATCGAGCAATATGTATATGTCATTTTTCAAACAAGGGAAGTCTCAACTCTTTCACAATGAGCAAAACCTTTTTCCATAAGTTATCATCCACGCAGAATAATAAAAATCACTTTTCTAAGAAGAGACCCTAGTAGGAGCCGTTTAGCTGGTTTCTCCTGAATCTTCACATGGAACAATTCCATGTTGATTGTGACTTTAAATTAGTTGGCCTATATTCTGCTACAGCACAAAGAACACCAATTAGTTTAAAGCTTAATCCAACATATCAGTATTTCTATCATTATTTACATTGATATTTATCTCTTAATTATTTTATAAAAAACTAGAGGGGGAAAAGATAATATGAATGATAGTGAATTAGAGATTAATTTTTGGATGAGCGAACTAAATCCATTTTGTTGTCTTTGTAACTGGCATGGAGTCTAAGATGTGTAATCTTAATCCTGTTTAGATTCAGTCTCCGTGATTTTTCCATTATCCTCACCATTATTATTTTACTTTATCAACATGTGTTTCTATCAACATAAAGTTTCCTTTATGTTTTGTTAGCACAAGGGTCTACGAGCCTCCAGACCCCCCGGGGTACTTTGATGGCCACGTGTGGCCCATGTATCTAAAGCACAGGCGAGAAATAGAGGACATCATGTGGGAAATTGGTAAGCGCCCTTTCTCCCTCCATGGAAGGCCTTTTACTTGTCATTGTCTCAAAGTGCACAAAAGAAAGGACTTTAGGAGGAATGTTTCTCATGTATTATATTATGAAGGAGCCCTTTAAGCCATAACACTCTGGGCTCCCCGTCTTCTATCGTTGGCTCTCCTGGCTTCTGCTTTTCTCTCTATGGCTCTTGTCAATAGCTTGTCAACTTCTAGATGGTCATTTATTCAATAAATATTGACTGTATGCTTTCCATGTACAGGTACTGCCCTGGTGATATATATCAAGAGAAATAAGGCAGACCCAGTCGCTATTCTTGTATTTTTCATCCTCACCTGAGGATATTTTTTCCATTGCTTTTCAGAAAGAGTGGAAAGCGGGGAGAGAGAGAGAGAGAAACATCGATGTGAGAGAGACACATCGATTGACTGACTCCCATGCACACCCCAACCAGGGCTGGGGATTGAGCCTGCAACAGAGGTACGTGCCCTTGGCCGGAATCGAACCCGGGACCCTTCAGTCCTCGGGCCAGTGCCCTAACCACTGAGCAAAACCAGCCAGGGCCAGTCCCTATTCTTATGAGCCAACATTCTATTAGGGAAGCAGACGTCAAACTAGCTACACGAGCATGTCCTTTCTAGCTGCGCTGAGTACTGTGACAGTGAGTTCTTAGGGGACTGCCTAAGTCCCAGTGACCCAGCCACATTAAACCATGCTCTGACAGGGTTAACTAGGCAAAGGGAAGAGTGTTGGATGGAAGATCACCTCAGACAGTGGGCATGGTACAGACAAAGGCCAGGGGGCAGAAGGAATGATCAGCACCCGAAAGAAGGTTGGTATATTTGTCATAGAGAAAACCAAGGACAAGAGGTGCTGCTGGTAATACAGGAAAGATCCAAACCCTACAAGGCCATAGGCCAGTAGGGACTTGGGTCTTTATCCCAAGAAAAGTAGGAAGCCCTTTACGGAGAAGTTTGAACAAGGGCATGATAGATATCACATTCTCGTTTTAGTAATATCCCTCTGGCTATGTGGCGGGTGGGTGTAGAGGGTGCAATATTGGACATAGGTGCTCAATAGACCTGGATGATAGCATAGATATGGTGGGTGCAGGAAGTTGAGGTGTCAAGGACAACACCTTGGAACCTGGCAGGTACTATTTTGGAAAACAGAAAAAAGTGAGGAAGTTGCAGGATTGTAAGATAACAGTGCAAGTCTGTTTTGTACATAATGTTGTTGAGATGCCTGGAAGACATAAAGCAGCGATTTGGGGGTAAGCATCTGGATCTATGAGCCCAGGCTTGGAGAGACCTCTGGAATGCAGAGCTCAGCACAGAGAAGCTACAGGGGGCCCAGAGAGAAGGCTCTTGGTTGGGGCACAGGAAGTAGAACCGATGTATACTTTTCAGAATAAAGAGAGTTGCCCATATTGTGAGAAGCTTTGTGGCCTCCAGGGTGGCTGTGTCTGAGCCGTACAGAAAGCACATGGAGCCTCTCCGTAGTCCGGGGTCCATTATAGACTCTTCTTCAGTCAAGTTCAACCCCTTCGCCCCATCCCCAGAGCCGCTGCTGAGGTTCTAGCCACAACTCTTCCAGATTGGACCATGGCTGAAGAGACACCCTCTTCTCACTGCTCCTCTCCCCATCTCCATCTGAAATGCAAAACTAACTCTGTCCCTGCCTTACTTAATATCTTCAGAGAGTCTCCAGCTCTTGGGTTAAACCCACACCATCGGACATCAGGGTCTCTAAAGACAAAGGTATATCCTTGCTCTAAAACCACCTCTCTCCACTGTCCCTGCCTCCCCACACTCCAGGCTTTTCAAACCGTATCTTCTTCTTAACAGGCAAAATTCTCTGCTACCTCCCTACCTCTGCAGTTTTCTGACTAGAATACCTATTCCTTCCTTTAACATACATAACTTCTGCTTTTTCTCCAAAACTGACTATGCCAGTTTTTAAAAAATATATATCTTTTGGGCCTGGAGAATTCTGATTTAGTACATAAGTGGGGGAGCCCAGACCCCTACCTGGTTTAAGAAGCTTCACAGGTAATCTTGATGCATAAGGAAGGAGAACTACACCCTTAAGTGACTCGTTCAGTAAGGCACCTCTTCAGTCCTCCTAAAGTGCCATAATCACAAATGCCACTGAATTCTTTTTCTTTCTTTTTTTTTAAAAATAATGTTCATATCAGCTAGTGTGCATTTCTCTCTGTAATTAATCAAAATTTTTTTACCTGTTGTTTCTGGCTGTAATCTATTTTTCTCTTTAATGGCTATTAATTTACTTTTACTTTATGGTCCTGGGTTCTTTGGTTAAACCTACTGGTATTTTCAAGAAGTATCAGGTGCCAAAGTAAGCATACTATACTAATAAGCCTGTTAACATTTGAATTGCTCTCTTTTCCCCTTTTCAGTTTACCTAGATGGAACAAAGTCTGAAGAGGACCTCTTTTCACAAGTGTATGAAGATCTAAGACAAGAACTAGCCAAGCAAAAATGTAAGTGTTGTCCTATTGAAGTGGATGGTGAAAGACCAGCTAAGAATATAGTTCTGCATACCCAAGAATGGCATACCAGAATGCTAATGTAGGAGTGGTTGTATCCATTCACTCATTGCTTTGAAGATAATTCAGAATCAGACTCTGAATGGGTTTGGAGACTTGATTATTTTTTTAAGGGTGAAAATATTCACCCCTTGTTATATCTCTCAATAATATTTATGTTCTATAGTTTAAATATTTTAGTGATGGCTGCTATTTCAATGAGACTGAAACCAACTTTTGGCCGAGTGAAGTTAAAATGCCGGTGATCTTGTTTGTTTTATAATATGTCTAGCGCTCCCCTTCTCCTGTATTCCTCTTAAAGATTTTTCTGTGAATTTATATTTCCCAAATACGTCAAAGTAAACACAAGATTTGAAAAACTATTTACTGTTTCTTTAAGATTTTTATATTGGACAACACATTTTACAAGTGACAGAAATCCTTCTAAATTTTGCTTAACAAAAGAAGTACAGGGACAGCCGTCACTGACAGACATCAGTCACTGGCAGACCCATATCTGTTGGAAGCACTATTCTCCTAGGTCCAGCAGCCCCGTGGAAAAAAACAGTTTACCCTTTTTCAAGATTGTCCATGAGTCATAAATGTTGAAGCTGGGCGTTGGGTACAAGGGGTTTACATATTATTCTTACTGCTTTTGCAAATGTTTAAAATTTTTATTTTAAACAATTTTTATTTTATTTTTTAAGTACAGTTGACATTCATATTACTTTATATTCATTTCAGCTGTACAGCATAGTGGTTAGACAATAACATAATTTACAAAGTGATCCCCCCAATATTTCAAGTACCCACCTGGTACCATACTTAGTTATTACAATATTACCGACTCTATTCCCTATGCTGTAGTTTGCAACTCGTGACTATTTTCTAACTACCAATTTGTGTTTCTTAACTGCGCCTTTTTCACCCAGCCCCCCAACCCCTTTCCCCTGAAACAAATTTTTTAAAGCAGTTTTCCATTTTAGCCCAACTGAAAATTCCCAGGAAAGACTTCGATTGGTCCTGCTTGTATCACATGACTTTTGCTAAACCAATCACCATGGCCAGGGAGATGGCCATGTACTGGCTAGGACTGGATCATGTAACTGAATACACCTCCTAAGACCTCCTGAATTAAGGGGAGAAATTCCCCAAAGGGAAAGCAGGGCAGGGGGTAGAAACCAGAAAAAGAAGGACAACAAAGCATGCTGGGAGAACAAAACTATATAGCTCTAGCTACTGTTATATTTGAACTAAAAGGATTTTTATGGCTAACTCATGCAAAATGCAATCATCAGAAGACAAGACAAGAGAAGACAGTATGAGTCACTCCAGCAGTAAAGAATATGACATGCTTTTTTGGTGAGACACAACTGCCGTAGCCCAGATGTCATCCTCTCTCAAGAATTAGATTCCCCCTGGCCACAGTAAATTCCTGTCTGACTAGGGGACTGAGCGCAGCCATGTAGCTTATTGGTTCTACATACTCCTAATTTCAGGATCAGCCCTTCATGTAGGCATGAACCCAGTTGAAGAAATTTCAGGACCATTTTTAAATTACTTCTTGGTGGAACTTATAATACTTGCCAGATATGCCTGCCCACCCCTGCCATCTGTTACCTTGATGAAAGGCAGGCCTCCCACAGTGGAGCTCAGGGCACCAGCATGAATGGATACAGAGAGTGTAGGGGAGAGGAAGGGGCTCTGCTTTCATAAATGACAGCACCTGAGCCAAAGCCACTTTTATAGGGGTGATTGGCTTCCTTTCTGGCCCTAATGAGATCTTTCCAGGGGCATTTCAGCTGTTGGTCACCCGGACTTTTCCATCCTCCTTTAGTGACTAATTCTCCTTTAGTGACTAAATCATATACTGGAGTTTGGCCTTATGATTTGCCTGCTGATAAAAATGAAAGTAGCCTTGATCATGTATTTCAGGCAATTTACACCTAACCTAGTTCCATACCAAAAGCCAGCTTTTGCCATCTGGCCCAAGGCCTGAGGAAAGCTGGCATGTTTTGACAGTGCTGAAAGTCCACAAGAGAGTTTGTGCCCATGTGTGTTACACCCTCCTCTTTCCTTGCCGATGTCCTAGCGACTTATAAGAAAATATTTAACTATACCTTTTAAGGCTATCTTGCTTGTGTTCTAAATATTGGATAAAGTTTAAAAAGAAGAAAATACGGGGTAGGCAAAAATAGGTTTACAGTGGTGAGTACAAGAAACGGAGTTTATTCTTGTATTATTATTTATTAACTATTGTATTTGCTGTACAAACAACTGTAAACCTACTTTTGCCCACCCCTGTATGTAACAGATATGTTAGAAGAGAAATAAAATCTAATGCAGATCAGCTTTTCCTACCTCCAAGACCTATGTTATTTTTTTTTCCACTTGCATAATTAAGTTACTGTGTTATATTAACCCACCATCTTTCCATTTCTTCCAACCACAGTGTCCTGAGTGCCCTGCAAAGCCAGCCTGGAGGGATCCTCAGCACAGCCTGCTTTAACCCTCAGTTCAGGAATGGGCTAGTGGGAGGCCTTCCAGATGTGTCAGTTGACTGCTCTTTAAGCTTCTCATAACATCTCAAACCTGCTTAACTACTTTTCCACTCTAAGCATATAAAATCATAATTGTGATAAAGTAGTAATAATGAAAGGGAAACAACAAAGATTGAATTTAATTAATAATGAAACAATAAATGACCCAGGAGAGTAAGGATATGAAGATATACAGAGTATATTTAATTGAATCCTTATTTAAATCCAGACTTTGAAACAAAATTGAATCATTACCTATTCTTACTATAACAAAGCAGTCTAGCCACCAGCATCATTTAAACTTCCTTTAAGAATGTTTCTTTTCACCCTAGCCAGTTTGGCTCAGTGGTGAGAGTGTTGGCCAGTGGACTGAGGGGTCCTGGGTTCGATTCCAGCCAAGGGCATGTACCTCTGTTGCAGGCTCAATCCCCAGCCCCAGGCAGGGCGCATGTGGGAGGCAACCAATTGATGTGTCCCTCTCACATGGATGTTTTTCTCTCTCTCTCCCTTCCACTGTCTCTGAAAAAGCAATGGAAAAAATATCCTTGGGTGAGGCTTAAGGGAAAAAAAAAAAAAAAATGTTTATTTTCATCTCATTATAAAAGTAAATTATTTTTAAAAGTTTTAATGTAAAGGCAAAAAGAAAAAAATAATCACCTATATTTCCACCAGTCAGTAGTGTTAACATCTTAATGTGTACACATCCAGTGATTTTGCTGTTCATGTTCATGTGTCTTTTATATGGTTACATGGCTTACCTGGTTAATTGCAATGCTTATTTCTTTTTTAAATTAATATTTAAGAAGTTTTATAGAATTCATTATATAATGAAACTGAATAAAACTAAATAGCTCTCCCACTTAAAGGATTGACGGGTGAATTCTGTTTCACTCATTGAAAGTGAATTATAAGACGACATAGACATCTTAGTGCAGGTGTCACATGTCTAGTTTCAAATCATAGGAATAAGAATTTGCAAAATAAAAATTTAATCAAATGTTTATATTTTTCTTTTTGGCATTTTTCTATATTGAATTTAAAATATAATTTCTAATTATAAAGTAATAATAGCATAATAGTTCAAATTGACATGATTATTGACTCATTTCCCAATGGTTGGATATTTAGTGTTGTACAAGTTTTTCACATTGGCAGATAACATGCTATAAAAAATATCTGCACAGATTGCTTGTTTTCTTCTTCTTTAGTTACATTAAAAATTTCCAGAGTAGTACTTGCTTGGTCAAAGACTATAATCATTTTTACATTTTACATACTTCAAAGATTAAATACTAAAAGGGAAAGAACTCTTGGACATGGACATCAGTGTGGTGATTGCCATGGGGAGAGGAGGTGGATGGGAGTGTAGGAGGGTATTGGGGGGAATAAATGGTGATGAAAAAATAGAAACAGAGGCATGGATACATGGAACAGACTGACAGGTACCAGAGGGAAGGGGGGAGGGGAGACTGGATGAAAGAAGGTAAAGGGATTAACCAAAGAACATATAGGCATAACCCATAGACACAACAGTGTGGTGATGGCCAAAGGGAAGGGGGGTCAGGGGTGGAGTGGACATGGGCAAAGGGGGGGAAATGGGGACATCTGTAATAGTGTCAACAATAAAAATAAAATTTAAAAAAATTTTTAAGATTAAATAATATACTAAAATATGTATGTTTCTCCAACATAAGCTGTGTAATAAGAATGCAGTAGGTTTATTACTGGGTTTCTAAGTCAAAGTCACTAAATAGTCAGCTAGGCTTCCTTGGTTTAAGAAAAATAGTTAAAGGTAACACTTATTTCCCCCAAATCAAGGACAACACTCCAAAACAAGAATTCTACTGCAGCCAGCCACCTTTTATGATATTCTGGTTCTCAAACTATTTCATTCCTTGAACTCAAGGATTATTATACCAATTGCAAATGATACTGGACATCTGATATCTTAAGATAGGCTTAAATATAATGCAAGGATTAAAAGAATGAGACTTGAACTCTATTTGGTTCTTTACGGAAAACCAGCATTTCTGGCTCCAGAATCCCTGTAATCTCAACAGCCTTAGAATACTGTTGTTATTGTGAAGATTTAGTAAAATGAGAACTGGAATTCTCCATTAATTTCTATTATATTTATTCCCAAGATCTTCAAGTAACAGTATAAAGATGGAATGCACTGAATTCTTCCTGGGTGAATTAAGAATCTTAAACAAGAACTTTATTCAAGAACCTTAACCAAAATATAACATGTACGTTGCTATAGTGACAACTGTTGTTTTGTTTGTTCTAGCACACATGATTTCCCAAACATGTGGGACAGTAGTTATCCATGACAATGGTCAGGTATGTATTTTAATGAGCTGTTTTCACTTCAAGGAGTGCATAGATATAGCATAACTCACAAGCAGTGAGTCAGTTCCTCTAGACCAGGGACTGTCAAACTTTTCTAAATGAGACTAGAATAAGAAATAAGATTTACGTCACAGTCCAGTACAAATATTTATTGTATGTGTGTGTATGTGTCTCTCTGTGTCCATATGTATGTGCATGTATATATGTGTATGTATATATACACATAATCAAGTATCATAAAGCATTTACCTTATATACTCTGGTATTTTTCTATTTTTAATTTTTTTAAAATATTGATTACCATCCCATACCAATGCCCACCTCCTGCAAATAATGGCATTACCAGGAGTAGCAGTCACATTAAATAAATCAACAATTTCTTACAGTATCTTTTGTGTGTGTTTTGTCATTGTTGATTCTGTTATGTTTTTTGCCTGTGTCTAAAACCACTGAATCATCATGTCATTTATGTCGAAACATTATAACAAATAGGGTTTATTTTCTGTGTTTTATCTTGTTTTTGTCAAACCAATGTTCTAAAATCACAGAAGTAAGTTATAATTATTTCAGTGACGTGTAATACAGAATATCTTTAATTGAAAAGTACGGACAGGCAATTTGAATTATGTGATTTTCTTTAGGCCTTTCTCAATGTTGGAATTTAAATTACTATACTGATCAACTTTTTGTTTATAATAAACAGATTGCTCCCAACCCTTTCAGTCCTTACCAATGTAAAATATATTGCTACATTAACTTTAAATGTTCTCTACAGACTCATTTGATCAGCTCTCATTTCTGTTTTTCTAACTAGCTTGAAGTTGGTGATGATTAGGGGATTTTGTCACACTCTTCAAAAACAACCTGGGCTCGAATTACAGTTCAGCTACTTAATGGCTACATAACTTCGATCAAGCTATTTAAAGTCTTGATTTCCTCTTTTTAAAATGGGGACTTCAGCATTACTTATGTGTAGTGTAGTATAAGGGTAAAGTTTGAAACCCTTAAAATAACCTGTGAGGCATTCCCCATTTAGCCTCTGTGTAGCTCTCCACCCTTATTTCCCATCCCTCAGCCCGCTACTGTTTAGCCACTGGGACCTCTCAGATTTACCAGGACCCTTCCTGCCTCACAGCTGGCACACGTGCTGCTGTTCCCAGTGCTCAGAGCAAACTTCTGCAACCCTTCCCTCCAACCTTGCTGACTCCTACTCCTTCAGATAGCCCCTAAAATCCAACTTCTGGGAGGCCTTCCTGATCCCCCCTACTTGGTGCTCTGAAAGCACTCCTGTTTTCTCTTCAAAGCACTAATGACAATTGTGATTTACTGCCACTTACAGACTCTTTTAGTGGCTGTCCCTCCAGCTAGACTACGAGCTCCATGAAGGCAGAACTACCTCTGTGACTTAGTTATAAACATGCCCCTGCTAACTAGCACAGTGTCTGGCTCGTGAAAAACACACAATAAATGTTGGGCACTTTTTATAAATTACTGTTAAATCAGAAATGAGTTCACATGCAACCAATATATTACTTGACTAATAGCTTAAACTCATTGGGGTTTATTTTTTACACAAGAAAGTCCAAGGCAGGCAGTCCAGGGTTTGTGCATAGAGATGTCAGATTTAGAAGAAAAGAAAAAAAATTAGAGGACACAGAGTTAAATTGAATTTCAGATAAACTATAAATAACTTTCTGTATAAGTCAGTCCCAAATATTACATATTTAAGACTGCTGTATTTCCAAAGTTCAAATTTAATTGGGTGTCCTTTATTTTACCTGGCACCTCTACTTTAGCCACAACTCAAAAAGGTCATATAAAAGTCAGAGTGTTTCATCCTTGGTTTGTGACCCTGTTACCTGGAGGTTACAGAAAGCAGTGGAAGCTCTTTCCATAGTGTGAGCTATCAAGGCAGGGAGAGGGGTGCTGGAGGCGTCAGGAGCCGCATGCCCAACAGTGTCTCCAACAGGCTCCCGCGTATGCCCCTGGGCCAGAACTGGCTCACAAGGCCATTTCTCACTGCAAGGGAGGCTGGAAAGCAGATGTCATGGTAGATTTGGACCAATTATGATTCATTGCCTGAGGGTGTGGCCAGGGGAACAAAATCTAGCCTATTTTAGCAAGGAAGGAGGAGGAACCAGGTAAGTAACTAGAAATGTTGGCCACGCTTTTATCAAGCTGATTGCTGGAATTCCAAATTACTGTTATGAAAACAGTAGAAATTTTTTTAGAATAAAAGTCTAGGTATGACTTTTCAAACTTAATTTCCAGGAATTTCTGAAATGCCTTCTTATCCCTCCCTGTTGAGAGCCATTGCACCTGACTTTTCTCCCCATTTCAGCATGTGAAGAGAGGTCAGAGCCCAGCCAGGCGTGGCTCAGTGGTTGAGCATCGACCTAGGATCCAGGCGATCGGGGTTCGATTCCTGGTCAGGCCACATGCCCGGTTGTGGGCTTGATCAATGATTCTCTCATCATTGATGTTTCTATCTCTCTCTCTCTCCCTCTCCTTTCCTCTCTCTGAAATCAATAAAGATATATTTAAAAAAAAAAAAAAGAAAAGAGGTCAAAGAAAGACTATCTTGAAGAAAAATGGACAAGACCTTAACAGGCTTTCAAAATGGAAACATTCAAATCATTTCCGGAAGTAAATATCTTTTGCCTACGATTATCAGTGAAAGATTGGGAGGGAAATAATACCAGCGCCTCCTTTCTGGATGTGTGGTTTCACATTGCAATGACTCTTATCAAAGCAATTAATGGGATGTTGTGTCTGTTTCAAAAGACATATTCTTTATTGAAACAGAGCAATTCTGCTGAAGCCATCACTTTCTGTTAATAAATAACCTCAACCCCTTTAGGATGAATTGGCCATAGGAAGGCTTCCTTGTGCTTAATATCAAACAGAAGAGGGAGTTTGAAAGGGGACCTCCTGCAGAGACTGTTCACTAAAGGGCAAGATTCAAGACCAGGTTACCTTTTAAGGATATGCTTGTGGTAGAAAATAGAACCATAAAATGGTGGAGCCGTATCAAGTGG